TTCCACCACTACGTCACCGGTCCAAATGCCCCTCCGATAAAAATGGCGACACCGTGTTTTTGTTATCAGTCGAACAATGCCGACGCCCAGCAGGAAAACTGTGCCGCGGCGCGGTGGACGCGCGACCGTCGCCGAAAATAAACGTACGGAGCCTTCAGCGTGATTCAGCGGCGCTGTATGTACATATGCATGTACCTGAACCCATAGTTCGCCGCGCAGTGTAAAGAAGCAGGCCTATCAGGTTCGTTATGGAGAGGGACGGGCGCAGCACCCGGGCGATACGGGCTCGACCACTGCAGTGCCCGTAAAACGTTAAACCGATCAATGATGTGTAATCGGCCGTCTGTAACACTGCATGCACCAGACAGGTGCGATAAAACCGTGCTCCGAACACACTCGGGGAGGAGCGGCGCGGCGGGCGCCTCGTGCTGGCCGCAGTTTCCAGGCCTAACCCGTTGGCGTGTTTAGGTACTCCGGCATTCTGCCAAAAGGTGTGGCCTGCTCGTGTGGGGCAGACCTTTGGAGCATACCGGACCAGCCACCAACATTTTAAACGGCTAATAACGCTATCGTACCAATTATCCGTCTACCACCGCACGGGTGGAGGCCGGAGGGACTTGGTATACGGCATAGGTACAGATGGCATGGTAGAAATGATAAAAAACACTGTATGACTGTGAGCGGCCCGAAATGGAATGGGACAGAGAGAGAAAGAGGACGAGTTAGGACCGAACGGTGTGAGATGGAACATGGCGATGAGAAGATGATGGGAGTAGACGAGACGGACCGGACTCCGAGTGTTCACCGAATGGCTGAACGATTGGGTTTGACACAGAACACGACGGACCATTCGGGATAGAATCACGACTGCTGCCGAGAGTCGCCGAGTCGTTCGAGAACGGCAGTGAACACTGAACAGTGACATCGGACGGCAGACAGCGACACGGGTCAGCCGCCTGAAGGATGAAGAGCGGCACGGGCCGGCCGTCTGAACAGGGATCACAGTGGAGAGAGGACGCACCGGCACGGGCCGACCGTCTGAGAGCGGCACGGGCCGGCCGCTCGCCTCGCCTCCTTCCGTGCAGACATGCCATTGAAGAGCGGCTGCAGACCTCCTGAATGGGCGCTCGCCATAGGTAGTTGGTCACCGTCAGAGGCGCGCGACGTCCGGCTGGGCAAGTACAGTTATTACCCGGGCCCGGGGGGCGCCCAGGACGGCAGCTCGTCCGCCGGCAATGTGCATCCGCGTACAGCCGTACAACGGCGGCCGCCGGTGCAGCGTTTCCGGTCACACACGAGAGTCGAGGAAAGAAAATGGTCGGAAATAGCTCGCGTAGGTGTGGGCTCGGTTTGATTGCTTGTTTCAGCCAACTCACTTCAAAGTTGGGTCCAGGGAGTAAATAATAGATGCTCATTTTCAGCTTCATACAGTGAGTGACCTTTCGAATGACACGCGAAAAGTTTTGACAACTTAGCTACTTTGTGCGCCGGAAGGCCGGGATTGATCTCACATAGACTGAAAGTTAACTGACTACCTACGCTATATTTACATTCAACGTCCAGCTAATCACAGTTGATGCGTCCATAAGCTATCGTCCATCAGTGTTTACTATCGTCTGCCAGTGATATAGAGATGCAGCCATCACGGTGCCTATGAAAAGGTTGTCATCAGACGCATCCGATCAGGTACTATATCTCGCTGCATTTACAGCGAAAATGTTCCATAAAACCGTCTGCCTCGGGCGAGACCTTAATCCGTCCATATCTACGCGTACTACCATAACGTCAATGTCATACAATATACGTTTGTTAGAATTTAATGGCAATGCTGACGTCCAAAGGTACCTACTTACCAGTCATACTTAAGGTACTTTAGTTACGTGCAAGAGGATAACTCTTTTTTGAGCCATAGATTTGGTAAAAGCGGGTCGGATCGATTTATCATTCATGAGATTGGTACGGTTGCAGTGGGGTAGTTCAGTTAGGCACCCGTTACCCTTTCGCGACCAAGATTTATTCTGTCGTAAAAAATCAGCCCACTGCATGACCTGTGCCTGGCAACTAATACCTTGTAACTGGCCAGGTACTGATTCAATGATCGCGTGCTAAAAGGCGCGTCCTCAGACGAACAATGCCAGCCTAAATGCCACTGCTTCAAGAAAGGCCTCGGCAAAAATAGGGCTGTGCGGCGCCCATCCCGGTGAGTCACCGTCGCCCAGTCACGCCATCTCGCCGCGCCCGTGCCGCTCTCATTCAGCGCCGAACGGGACGCCGAAATTAATTTTACGTGCGAGATTACATGCAGTAAGCAGGTGGTGGGTGCCCGGCACGCCACAGGACGCGCCCGGTTCGCGGCAGCGGGCGCCGGCTGCACGGGGCGCCGTTCGCCGAACGCCGCCGCCGCGGAGCTGCTGAGCGCTGCACTAATGACCGGCTGCACTGCGGGGCGCCGCAGCAGTGTCCCGACAGGGCGCCCAGGACAGGCGAGTCCGCGGGGCAGAGCGCCGCAGCGGAAACATTCGGGGCAGGGTGCCACGGCAGAGACGTCCGCGGCAGGCACTCGGGAGAGGGAAGCCCAGGACATGGGGGTCCGGGGCGGGGGACCGGGCACCGGACGGGGCACCGCCGGACTCGTCCGTCAGCGGACCGCGCCGGACCTCAGCCGGCGGCTGGCGCTCCGTTTCTGCCCGCGCCGCTGGCCGTTTCCTCTGCCCCGCCGGGAGCCGCCCGCCGCCCCTCCCGCGCCCCTCCGGTGGGCGCTCTGTGCACGTCGTGCTGCGGACGGCGCCGAGGGCCGAGGGTGCGCCAGCGCGGCGGCCGCCGTCCGGTGGCGCTCACCGGGCCGCGGCGGCGTGCAGCCATTTCCGGCGGGTCTCAGAGACGGTCCCCGGCCCGCCCCCGAGGCCAGAGGTCACCTCTCCTGCTCCTCCGGGCGGCCCGCCTGCACGGACAGAGGGCCGACATTCCGGCGCGTCGGGAGGGCCGCGTCTCCCCACCGGCGCATCTCCGGCCGCGGGGAGCCACAGGCGGCTGCTCGTAGCCCTGCCCTTATACGGCATCGTGGGACCCAATCGACCGCCCCGCCAGCAGGTAGATACGGGCGCCCGCCAGCCAACTCAAAAACTCCCAGGGCAAACAGGGCTGGCATGTGGCGCTGCGGTGGCGTGATATTTAATCCGTCCTCAGCTCACCCAGGCGATGGAACCACCACGTGGAGGGACCGCAGCGTAACACCCTCAGCCCCGGGAGGTGTCCGCACACGGACCGGGCACGGGAGAACCAACACTGACCGAGCCGCAGCATAACCCTCAGCCCCGGGAGGTGTCCGCACACAGCCCCGGCACGGGAGAACCAACACTGACTGAGCCGCAGCGTAACCCTCAGCCCCGGGAGGTGTCCGCACACACGGGAGAACCAACACTGACCGAGCCGCAGCATAACCCTCAGCCCCGGGAGGTGTCCGCACACGGCCCGAGCACGGGAGAACCAACACTGACCGAGCCGCAGCATAACCCTCGTCCCTCAGCCCCGGGAGGTGTCCGCACACAGTCCGGGCACGGGAGAACCAACACTGACCGAGCCGCAGCGTAACCCTCAGCCCCGGGAGGTGTCCGCACACGGCCCGGGCACGGGAGAACCAACACTGACCGAGCCGCAGCGTAACACCCTCAGCCCCGGGAGGTGTCCGCACACAGCCCGGGCACGGGAGAACCAACACTGACCGACGCCGTGGCCGAGCCAAGGGCAAACATGGAAGGGACGGCCTCCCACCGCCCTTCTGGTGCACTGTCGATCTCGACGATGAAAACAACTACGAATGCGACGCTACGTTCATGGCCATTACTCCGGCACCAGGGCGTCCCGAGCGGCGCCACGTTCCGCCGGGGTCGTCTTATCAGCAGCGGCGTCAAATGCTGCAGCGGCCGAGTGACGGCGCTCGTCACGTGCGTGTCAAGGTCAGTGGGTCGGCGCAGACTGGGAGTCGACGCTGACCTCAGGCGAGTCGCACTGAACAGGTGGAAAATGCCAAACTCGGACACAGATGCCCATTATTCAAACAAGGCCCAGTTCTTCTGACGTTTACTTTCGAAAGGCACGGGTACGTTCCGAATTCCGTGTTCGTCCAGTGCCTATGTCGCGCAACATTTTATACGTTACGTGATAGTGACATATACGGCCCAGGCCGGCGGCATATGCCGTTCTGACGGTGTTACTCAGGCCGTGCGAGTAGTGCGTACCGTCTCGGCCAGATGCCGGCATATGCCGTTCTGACGGTGTTACTCAGGCCGTGCGAGTAGTGCGTACCGTCTCGGCCAGATGCCGGTATATGCCGTTCTGACGGTGTTACTCAGGCCGTGCGAGTAGTGCGTACCGTCTCGGCCAGATGCCAGTGCCCCGGATACGGCGTTCCTGGCCCTCGTACATACAGCGCCTGTGACCGACACGAATTCAGCGTGCCTGCACGACCTCCCGTTTGCAGTCGCTCATCCTCAGGGCCTCGCCTGCTCTTTACGACATTCCCGTGTTGTGATCACACTTGCAGGCCTTTCTAGGGGCTATTATCATGCTATATGCAGAGCGGAGGTAATGCACCACAAAAGTTTGCCTACTAAAACGGTGTTATCAGTCCAGTCGGCTATGCTAATAGCCCCTTGCTCGAGCAGCTAATCGGCATCAATTTCCAGAACAGGTAGGTAGTCCAAAAGCTCCGGCTTTGAGCTGGCCCTGCTTTACGTAGTCTTCAGCGTTGTGAGCCATTACTTGAACGATTTAGGTTGCTGCATAGCATATCAATGGATTCGTTTACGCGGGAGGGCCCTTATTCATTATCTAATATCTTCCAAATGTAGGCCGCATGAGGGCCTGACAAATTATATCTCGCACCTACGTCTCCACCGGTGACCCTGCTGCCCCCGTGTTTGTATGTGCGTCTGTCTGTCTGTCTGTCTGTCTGTCTGTCTGTGTGTTTGTCTCTGTACTGAGTCTCTGCCCTGTTGCAGCGATGCGCAGCTGGCTGCTGGTGGCCGTCGTGCTGGTGACCCTGTTCGTCTGCCTTGAGGCCGGCCAGAGGCCGCGCCGCGGCCGCTACTCGCGCCTCCACAGGAAGGCGCACACAATCGCCGGCCAGGTCAAACGCTATCAGCTCAAACAGCGCCGCAGGTAGGCCGGGACCGGGGCCCGAGTCCATCACTCCGCGGCGCACACCGCCCGCAGTCGACCGTCAGCTCTCCGGCGCACGGCAGGAGGCCAGATTTTGTGTTACAATGAAGGCCTCAGATCGCGTTAATGGTTCAAACATTGCGCATATCATCAAATGGCCAAGTATAGAGCAGTAGGGCCGGGGGCAACAGGAGAGACAAGTATGGGCCATCGGAGTGGACTAACCGCCGGGCTCATGTCTCTGCAGGGGAGAGGCAGCCAACAACGAGGTGTCTGCGGTCGCCAAGGCCGGCTCCCGTGCCAAAGGAAAGTCGTCGCAGAAGCGCTACCGAACAAAGTCCAAACAGCTTCAGAACAGCACTGGCAAGGCGGGGAGACCCCAGCGGAACAACAAGCAGCGCAATAGGTCCGGCAGGAGACGACCGGCCACCACCAAAGGTGAGGGAAGCGGGGAGCGGGGAGGTGACTGGCCTGCAGTCGGAGGGAAACCGTATGGACTATGGAGAGGGGCGACCCACTGTGCCGTGAGGAAAAGGGGCGACAGACTGAGCTATTTGGAGAGGGCGTCGCTACAAACATGCATGCAAACGGTAGCGACATGCCCGATTGCCACAACAAAAATGAAGAGCGTGATGGCATGATCACTTTTATTGCCTCCTGATCCATACAAAATGTAGGGACCCGCGTGGAACCCGGACTTATTAGTACAGCCTTGCATGGCCAGTTTGTGTATGTACATGTACAGTGTACACTATACGTATGTACAATGTACGACTCGGCTTATTGTCTTTCGTTAAACGAATTCGAATTCTTATGAATATTGGCGGCGAATCCCACTACTTCCTCAGAAGCTATCGTGCTGACGACCGATCCTCTGTTTCAGACGTCTGTTTATTTAGGGCTCTCCGGCGCTGCGGCAAGAGGGTGCTGAAAAGGCTCCGATCTTCCCCCGATTTCGAGATTATATGTCGAACAAAAGAGGTGAGCCGGTAGGATCAGACCTTCAGCCGATGTAATCCCTGTCCGACTGATGTGCGGGAGCAGAGCATCCGTCTCCGACCAGCAGGATCTCAAACACTGTCTGACTGCGCTCAGTCCCTGGCTGAGCTCAGTCCGGTACTGACCGACTGCGCTCGGTCGGCAGTCGGTAGGTACAGTCGCTCAGTCCGTCCATTGGGACGGCCCGTTACTGACCGCACTGCTCGCACGGCCGGCCCGGCAGGGAGAGCCGGCCCGGCTGCACCGAGCTGACATCAGCCGGCGCGTCTGTTTATTGGTGCGGTCTCCGTCCACCGATCACCGCCCGTCTGTCTCCGGCGCCACTAACGGCACCGACGGACGGCGAGCAAACACTGCGGCCCGGCGCTGACACCGGCCCATAGAGCCCGGAACACAGCACCGGCCGCTGCGGGAGTCATACAGCTGATCAGATCCCGTATAAACCGGGCTACGAGGTGTCCGCTCTGGCCAGAGTCGCTCCCTGACTCTCGCTGGCCCACCAAAACTGCGGGCCGGAGGGCTCGGCTAACAGTCTGCGCTAACACCTACCTGTGTCCCCCAGTGTGACGCTGACGCCCGCCCTGTGTCCCCCAGTGTGACGCTGACGCCCGCCTGTGTCCCCCAGTGTGACGCTAACACCCACTTGTGTCCCCCAGTGTGATGCTGACACCCGCCCTGTGTCCCCCAGTGTGACGCTAATACCCACCTGTGTCCCCCAGTGTGACGCTGACGCCCGCCCTGTATCCCCCAGTCTGCGCTAACACCCGCCCTGTGTCCCCCAGTCTGCGCTAACACCCGCCCTGTGTCCCCCCAGTCTGCGCTAACACCCGCCCTGTGTCCCCCATTGTGACGCTGACGCCCGCCTTGTGTCCCCCAGTCTGCGCTAACGCCCGCCCTGTGTCCCCCAGTGTGGCGCTAACACCCGCCCTGTGTCCCCCAGTCTGCCCTAACACCTACCTGTGTCCCCCAGTCTGCGCTGACGCCCGCCTGTGTCCCCAGTGTGACGCTGACGCCCGCCTGTGTTCCCCAGTGTGACGCTGACGCCCGCCTGTGTCCCCCAGTGTGACGCTGACGCCCACCTGTGTCCCCCAGTGTGACGCTAACACCCACCTGTGTCCCCCAGTGTGACGCTGACGCCCGCCTGTGTCCCCCAGTGTGATGCTGACGCCCGCCTTGTCTCCTCCGGCAGCGTTTCATCGACTGTATGTCGATGAGCCAGCGGCGCGGCTGTAAGGCGCGGAAGCGGCGGCGGCGGCGCCGCGGCCCGTCGCGCCGGCTCATCAAGCAGTATCAGCGCCGTCTGCAGAAGGCGCTCACCAAGGCGCGCGGCTGCGTCATCGGCGTCGACCTGTCGGCGGCCGCCCCGCTGACCGACCGCTGACCGGCCGCAGCTGGTGGCAGCTGGTTGCCGCTGTCTGCTGACCGCTGACGGTATCACCGACTGGCTGCTGACTGTCGGTGTATGTGTGCGGTCCTCCGCCGGCCGTGGTCCGTGGTCCGCCGCTGACTCACCGGCCGGTCCTCTCACAGACTGTCGCCGCCCGGTGTTAATGTGTGACGTCGCCAGATGACGTCCCGGCGGCGACCACACGCCCCCGGGACCTGACCGCCACGTGCGCCCCTCATTCACTTCACAGTGGTTTATTGTCATACCTTCGTCAGATGTCGCTTGAAGCTGGGTCGAATACTGTGTATTTGTGTGCATTGATGTCCGCTAATAGACTGTGTCGTTATCGCTAATAGACTGTTATCGCTGATGAACAATCTAGCCACCTACCATGCAGTAACGATGTAAACAAAGCTGCTCGCCTGGTTTCATGTGTCACAGCTAAGAAAGGAACAGGCCGTGCGCTTAAATGAGATCGGATACTATCTTAATTAGACGTCGCGAGAATTTCTCCCAGTGTCCCCCAGAGCGTACGTGTTGCCGTAAACAACCCCAGCACGGCACAGCAGGCGTCCGCCATAGGCTCCCAGCATCATCACTCAACTGGGGAGTGGCGTCATATCGAACGTTCAATAAAGGATACTCGTGTCGTAGAA